CCTACCAACTCAAGGATGTGACTCACATATGGTTCACTCAGTTGAAAGACAACAGACATGACTAGGGTCATTGGGGTCTAATTTTCTTTCGATGTGACAGGACAAACAAAGAAATAGGAAGGGATGGTTCTTTCATTCCATTGATAGAAGTCTAACTAGAAAAAGACTCTCTCTATTACTATGAGAACAGAATCATTGGTTTGACCGACGAATTACGTGGGAAAATAAACCTTCTTTCTTTGAAGCAAGATTTTTAGAAAGTAACAATTCCATTCATTTCTCTTTCAGAAAACTTGCTGGTCGCGGATTAGTTCGTTCTGCGCCGCCAGTGGCCTCAACTAAAAGGCGCATGTTGATCTCTCTATTTGAGGCTGCAGATCAAGATGAATGGTCTGGATTTCAAAAAGATGAATATGCAAGGGGTAAAGAGACAGTCTTTAAAACAACCAAGCTGACATAAGGATTCTAGCTCACGCCCACTTAGAGCAGATGGAGATTCTCGGACGGGCAAAAGCGGCACTCGACATCTATTAGACAAGACCAAGAACAAAGTCATACCGTGCCCTCGGGAGAAAATGGTGATGATTGCCATAAATGCTGCCCTCGAGGACGTGTACAAGAAGGTCTTTGCTGATTCCTATCAACATGGTGCATATCCTGGTAGAGGGGCGTGAAAAGTGGAGACTTTGACCATAAGAATCAATTGATTGACATTTTTCCTTTGTCTTTTGTAACTCCTTATATAGTAGTACAATCCAGTGTTAGTCCATAAACTCTCTTAAAACCTTTCTGAGTCTCTACTCCAGTCGCTGACCCAGTTATCGCTAGACGGATATACAGAAATTGCCCTGTCACAAACTCTCAGAAAGTCACCTCAGCAGATCTAGTAGAGTAAGAAATGGTAGACTTTGATCTCATTCGAGGCATGGATTGGTCACATTGTATCTAGTTAAGGGATCCGAGTGGATTCACAGAAGATAGAAGTAGTGAAACAATGGCCCAGACCTACCTCTGCTAAAGATATTAGAATTTTCTTAGGTCTAGTGGGTTATTACAGAAGGTTTGTGGAAGGATTTTCATCGATAGCCTCACTATTGACTAGGTTGACTCAAAAGATGGTCAAATTCCAATGGTTAGATGATTGTGAGAAAAAAATTGGAGAATTGAAAACTAGATTCACTATAGGTCCTGTCTTGACTCTAACAGAGGGTTCAGATGGTTATGTTCTATTGTGATGCATTCAGAGTTGGCCTAGGTTGTGTGTTGAAGCGGCAAGGTAAGGTGATAGCTTATGCCTCTAGATAACTCAAGGTTCATAAGAAGAACAATCCAACTCATGACCTCGAGCTGGAAGTAGTGGTGTTTGCACTAATGACTTGAAGACACTACTTGTATGGTGTTCACGTAGATGTGTTTACTGACAATAAGAGTCTTCAGTATGTGTTCACCCAGAAGGAGTTGAATCTTCGCTAGAGGACATGGATTGAGTTCCTTAAAAATTATGATATGAGTGTGCATTACCATCCTTGTAAGGTAAATGTAGTAGCAGATGCTCTTAGTAGATTATATATTGGTAGTATAGCCCATGTTGAGGAAGAAATGAAGGACCTAGTGAAAGATGTTCACAAGCTTGCTCGCTTGGGAGCGGAGCTAGTGAAGGATGTTCACAGGCTTGCTCGCTTGGGAGTTCCTCTTATGAGCATATCAGACAGCGGTGTAACAGTTCAGAATAGGGGAGAATCGTCTTTAGTAGTGGAGGTTAAGGAAAATAAAGTCAGTGACCCAATCTTGCTTGAACTTAAGGGTGAAATCCATAATTAGAAAGTGGAGTTTTTCTCCCATGGTGGAGATGGTGTACTTCACTACCAGGTAGATTTTGTTTTCGTGATGTGGGCTAGTTGAGAAATCATATTCTTGCAGAAGCCCATAACTCTAGGTATATTATTCATCCAGGTGCCACTAAGATGTACCGCAATCTGCGAGAATTCTACTGGTGGAGTGGCATAAGAGGGATATAGAAGATTGTGTGAGAACGTGTCCCAATTGCCAGCAAGTCAAGGTAGAACATCAGAAACCAGGAGGTATGACTCATGAGATCGATATTCCTACTAGGAAGTGGGATGTGATCAATATGGATTTCAACACAGGTTTACCTCGTACATACAGACAGCATGACTCCATTTGGGTTATAGTTGATAGGATGACTAAGACTTCTCACTTTTTAGCGGTCAAGACTACATATTCGATAATGGACTATGCAGAGCTTTTCATCAATTAAATTGTGAGGTTACATGGGGTTCCTTTGTCTGTCATCTGAGATAGAGGTCCTCCGTTTACCTCTCATTTCTAGAAGTCATTTCCAAAAGGTCTTGATACTCAAGTTAACCTTAGTACAACATTTCATCCACAGGCGGATGGGCAGGCAGAGCGTACCATTCAGACCTTAAAGGATATGTTGAGAGCTTGTCTGATCAATTTAAAAGGTAGTTGGGATGATGACCTTCATCTTATTGAGTTTTCCTACAATAATAGCTACCATTCTATCATTCACATGTCCCCTTATTAGGATTTATATGGGCGTAGATGTAGATCTCTTGTTGGTTGGTTTGAAGCAGGTGAAGCAGCTTTGATAGGGAAAATTTAGTCATTTATCCTATGGAGAAAGTGCAAATCATTAGAGATAGACTTAAGACATCCCAAAGTCGTCAGAAATATTATGCAGTTGTAAGGACAAGGGAACTAGAGTTCCAAGTTGATGATTGGGTTTTTCTAAAAATCTCATCTATGAAAGGGGTGATGAGATTTTGAAAGATAGGGAAGCTCGGTCCTAGATATGTAGGCCCTTACAAGATCTTGAAAAGTGTTGTCAAGGTGTCATATGAGTTAGAGTTGCCATCAGAATTAGCAGCAGCGCATTCGGTCTTCCACATCTCCCTCTTGAAGAAGTGCAATGGTGATGCAGCCTCTATTGTGCCATTGGAGAGTGTATCAGTGAAATATAGTCTTTCTTATGAGGATATACCATTTGAAATTTTGAGTGTTGGGTTAGAATGTTGACAAACAAAGAAGTCGCTTCAGTCAAGGTTTTGTGGAGAAGTAAGTCCATAGAGGGAGCTACTTGGGAAGATGAAGCCGCCATGAAAGCCAAGTATCCTCACCTCTTTCCTTCCTATTCCACTCCAGCTTTAGGTAATTGTTCCTCTTTAATTTTCCAGTCATTCATGTTTAAATTCAATTTTAGAATCATGTTCCCTCTGTTTTTAGTTGCATTTTAAACTTATTTGCATGTACTTGGAATACAATTCAGTCAGAAACTCAGTTCTCAGTGTTAGTAGTGGGGTTTACAACTCTCTCCCTCTATTTCAGCTAGTTTAGTCTTCATTCAAGAACGAATAAAGACTAAACTAGCTGAAATAGAGGGAGAGAGTTTTAAACCCCACTACTAACTCTGAGTAAAAAGTTATGCCCATTTTAGTAAAGGTCTGTAGAATAGGCTTTGATGACGGACCCAACGACGGGGCGTCAGACAGACGGTGGACCGTTAGTCCTGGCCGTCATTAGGCCCGACAACAACTTCACCAGGGGTCTTTTTAACCTTTCCCACTCTGTTTAAACCCTAAATAACATCTCTTTTACCCTAAATCATCAGATTTTAGTCATTTTAAGCCATGAAAGACAATTAAAACATATCCAAGCCCAATCATTAAATCAAAACATAGAAAATTAGAAGCAAGATAGGCGAAGAAAAGCTCAAGAACCCTAGTTCAAGAATACCACAAGCTCCAGCAGTTCCAATCTTGAAACTTAAGTATTTTTCCTTGGATTTAATCACATGTATGTGGGATTTCACTAGCGGGTTACTTTCACCCATTGGGTCCCTAGTTTTCAAACATATTCTTGATTTCCACATCATGATTAGATCTAGGGTTTTTAGAACTTCAAGATAACTTCATGAAAGTATTAGTTAAATGTTCCAAATCAAGTTATCATGTAATTACTAAGATTATCACTTGAATTTAAGAACCCTAGATTTGTATTTCTTTAGTCCTTGAATTATACAGGTTAGGTTAGATATTTTAGACACTTCAGATATACATGCCTCATTTTTTAATGCATCATTATCAGATTGCATGTTGCATTCTTAGTTTGCATGTTCAATTTCAATCTATTTTGTATATACAGAAACTCAAAGATAATCAGTAAATTTATAGAATCTATTAGGGTAGCATAATACCGAGTCGGACTAGGGTTTAGCGTACTCAATAGTAAGAGAATTACTAGCCAAGTAGGTTTTAAGTCTCCTCTGTGGGCAATCTGTTTAGTGATCACGCCAACATACCATTATACCTTTGGCAGGGTATATTGGATCCTCCCGATGTGGCGTATACATCGAACTCCACATTTAGCTCATGTGGTTTTATCAACAGTTATTAGTTGCTCCCAGAGATCAGTCAGACTCTATGCATTGACCATTTATCAGTATATTCAGTACTTAGTATCAGTATGGTATAAATTGGTCATTGCATCCAGTTAGCTCAAAATTAAGTTTATCATGCAAATTATTATACTTACTATTTCTCTTGTTTAGTTACATTTTATTTTCGCTTTACCCTATCCTACATGCTCAGTACCTTTCAAGTACTGGCGTATACTGCGCTACGTATTCTTGTTATGTAGGTTCAGGTTCTCTGCATCTAGATCACGCATAGATCAATTTCCGATCTCCAGTTCAGCAGATTCAGTGGCGAGTCCTTATTCTCCGAGGACAACAGTCATGAGTTTCATTTAAGTCTTTAGTCATTTAGTTTGAGTTTTCGCTAGATTTAGCTGGGGCTTGTCCCAGTATTTCTAGTCCAGTTTAGAGGATTATTTCGGACATAGTTAGATTCATCTTAGTATTGAGTTAATATTTCATTTGTATTAAGCTCATTGTTTTCAAATATCTTACTAGGTTCTGTGTCCGTTTCTCGGGGGTAGCTCGGGGTGTGAGCGATTCAATATATGGAAACACTAAAGAGTTAAAGAAATCTACTAAAATGTGTTGTTGTACAATGCAAGTGATAGAAGATATGATCTGTCCTGACCCAAAAATGGGGTGTGATGGCACTCGTCTTATTCCACTAAGACAAGTCAGCCTAAATCTCGACCATTACAATAAAATTATGGAAGTTTATGTTTAACTTAAAAATACCCCCAAAATCTGATTGTCACGTGTACAAGCTCTAAAGTATTACAATCCAGTCAAAAAAAGTCTCATATGACATTGTTGCTAGAGTAGAACAAGATCATAAATTGGAGTAAGAAGGTCCGCTGAGATGACAAAAAGCTACCTCACGAATCTCCAAGAAGCCTCAGAAAAGAAGAGAATATATCATAAAAATCTGGGCTAGTATCCTACAAAAAAAATCGTAGAAGCAATGGTAAGTACCAAACCATACAGTTATCAGCAAGTAAACGTCTAAACACAAGATAAGGGGATGAAATACGGGTACTCCTACCACCCCAACCGAACCTCCACAATTACAACCTGCATAAAATTCGGTCTAACCTTACAGTTCCCATTTACATAGCACGTAACTCTATAACAATACTTTGACTAATTACATATATATCCTCCACAACAACAGTTCACCAAATTATATATCTTCAATAACAACACTTCAACAAATTACATATCATCATTAACAACACTTCAACAAATTACATATCCTCAAATAAACAAGCTCAATATTAAAAAATTACAAGTTCCACAAAAAGGCAATTATAAGATCAGCAAATCGCAATATCAAGTTCAATAATGATAAGTATGTGCAATGCAATGGAATGCAATGTCAAGTATAGTGATGCATGTCTGACCTAGTGATACACACCCGCTGTCTCTCAGTCCGGGACCATAGGGGACTTTTATGTCCATGCATCTGTCTCGACGCACGACATGACACTTGATAATAGTAACCATTGTGGCGCGCGATACGTCACTCGAAATATAGTATCCATCGCGGCGCGTGATACGTCCCTCGAAATGGTAAATCCTTTTAAGTACTCATTCTTTCTCAATGCACATAACACTTGTCAACACCAATGCCTCAGAATAAATTAAATGACAAGTTCACACAAATAATGAGGAGATGATCATTTTCATAACATTGCACAGTTCACAACCATACAAACATGAAATCACATCAACAATAATTCAATAAGCCTTCAAACCTTTGTCAACACATCACACATAAACAATTAATCACATTGCCTTTTGTTATCCCTTTTTTTCTTCATTAGAATTAATCAATATGGACAAGTCAACCCATCACCAATCACGTTACCCCCAAACATATACCACAAGGAAATAGATGCATTCCATACACTTAACAAGAGTTTAGAAATCCACTTGCCTCAATCAATCAAGAATTCACTCCGTGACTTGAGTCTTCCCTTTTCATTGAATTTCCAACTTAAAGCAATCTATTCAAATTAATGACCACGATAAGATTTTGAAACTAACAACATTTATGTTGCTATATGTCTAGCTTAGATCCAAAACTCACCCGATTTTACAATCAAGTTCCTAAATTTTGATATTGATTGACATTTCAATTATCATATTTTTCAAGTTTCAAATCGAGAGTTAAGTTTCAACTTTTCGAAATAATACAACCATAATAATATACCATTATTTAATTCCTTGACTCACTATAAGAAAAACAAGAAAATAAGATCAAAATTGTACGCTAACTCACGAAATAATAATATGTTCCATACACCATAACTACTGAATTGTTATTCGTAAGGAATTTTATATGCTATTTGACTCCATCATTAGGCAATCATTATCTTGCATCCACTAACCCCCGAAATCTAATAGAATTGGTTGCTGTAATATTGAGAGAAAAAAAAGTCCCTTAACTTCTTCTTAATCCATTAAATTCATATTATCACAAAAAAAAATCATCCATTTAGTATATAGCCATCTTAAAAAAAAATCTAGAACTAGTTGCATTAATTGCTTGTTACCTGCCACCTGAGGTTTATTCGTTTCCTCCGCCATTCGTCCGTCTAGGTAAGTTTCTATGAATCTACTCTCCTTTTCTTTCTTTTATCTAATTAAAATAATTATGTATTAAATGTAACAAACTCTAGTAACTTATTTTTGATAAATATGAAAATAGTATAAGGTGTTAAATAAATTATTACTTTAGCCTAATGACTATCAATTAAGTCAATTATCTACAATTACTCATCAATTAATTAACTCAAGTTAAACGAATAATCAAAAATTTTAAAAATGACCTTCCGAATCTTTACGTGATCGAAGCCTAATAAATGAATCTCATTTCTCAAACATTAAACTAGGGTTTCTTATTTTGTTCTTACACCTTTATTAAATAAGGCATTTTCCTTATGTTCGATATATCAAGACATTTCTGATTCTAATGAAATGGGAAAGCAAGGGACTGAATCAAACAAGAGGGAGAAATGAAAAATCTTAAATGAAGATTTATACTTACATTCGATAGTTGAGTAATAAATGAGCATGAGGAAGATCTTAGTAAAAATTATTAGCCACATCATGTGGTGATGGATGATTTTCTTCCGCTATAAGGGAAACATTTTCAGGTGGTGAGGGTCATTTATAGATATGAAGAAGAAGACGCGGAGGATAGAAACTCTAATCAAAAGGAAAATGTTTTACAAAGATAGTTTTATGTAGGGATGGGGATGTTCCGTTTTATGCGGCCCAATTTATTTTTTATAGTAATAAGAATTTTGCCTTAGGCCCAAGTGAATGTTCTTTTGATTAAGATTCTTTCTCATATCTATAAAAGATTTAAAAAAAATCTCTAAATAAAAATAGCCATCCAGTCAGAAAACTTTATCCAATGAAAATGGCATGGATTTCATTGGTAGCATCACATCCTGCTTTCATTGTAAATAACTTCTTATAATTTACTTCTTAAGTTTGTCGAACAAACAGTAAACACCTATTTACCAAATACATCAATAACTTATTGTCAATTCAAGGTCTTTGATTTAAACATGTAATAACTTATTAATAAAATTAGTTCTACCAATTATTATAATTTATATATCAATATTTATACTTACTCTATTAAAGAGATTAAACGTTTGTTTACATAATTACATTTTCAACACATCTCCTACTCATGTGCGAAATAAATATTTTCATAGTATATACGCATCAATTTTTTATAATAAAAATTGAGAATGAAACTCGAATAAAGATTTCACAAAAAGGTAAGTAGGTTAAACAATTTTTATACAATAAATACTTGATGAAACAAATTGATACCCAATAATTGTAATTTACTAATATTAGATCAATCATTAGACTATTAGGACGGTAGAAGACACAACTTTAAGCAATTTTTACAACCACTTAACATCAACACTAATCGTCAGCTTTTATAAAGAGGTGGCAACACTTTTATATATATCTATATCTATATATATATATATATATATATATATATATATATATATATATATATATATATATTTCCAGTCAAGTTCTGTTGCTTGACTCCCTCAAGACAGGGTAGCTATGTACCTATCATCATTAATACAATGCTTCATATAATAAGAGCCACATTAATTCTTGCTTAGCAAAATAATTTGATATTTGATTATAACATTTGGTCACTACATTTGGGTACGGTTAGAGCACATAAATGGTCTAAAATCAGAATATTACCGTTAACCTACACATGAGGGAAACACATCTAACTAATGACTTCTTGGATACATGGAAAACACTACATAATCTGCAAAGAATATTCCTGTTTCTAAGGTTACTACACTTCTAAATGTATACTTCTGACTCTAGCAGCTTCTTGTACTACTGTCATTTAACATCGCATTTAATATTATATTTTTCAGCAAAAAATATTACCTAAGCATACTAAGGATCTAACACGTAACAATGGTTTGGAGAAAAGAATTTGAAGAACATATTGATTTTAGCTCGAAAAACTAAATATATGAAAAATGGTGCATTCTTTCAAATCAATACATTGAGTGCACATTATCAGACTTGTCACATGCCTGGTGCAATATCTTTACTTTCTAATGACTTTACCATAGAGTAACTGTTAGTTTTCAGATAAGGAAAAACTTAACAACAAGAGCCTTCAATATGTTTTTTCACCCAGAAAGAGTTGAATCTTTGCCAGAGGAGATGGCTTGAGTTCCTTAATGATTATGATATGAGTGTGCATTACCATCCTAGTAAGACAAATGTAGTAGCAGATGCTCTTAGAAGATTATTTATAGGTAGTGTAGCCCATGTTGAGAAAGAAAGGAAGGAACTAGTGACAGATGTTCACTGGCTTGCTCACTTGGGAGTTCGCCTTATGAGCATATAAAATAGTGGTGTAACAGTTCAAAATGAGGCAGAATCTTCTTTGGTAATGGAGGCTAAGGAAAAGTAAGACAATGATTCAACCTTGCTGGAACTTAATGGTACAGTGCATGATCATAGAGTGGAGGTTCTCTTTCAAGGGAAGTTCTACCAGGGTAGATTGTATGTTCCTGATGTGGTCAAGTTGAGACATCATATCCTTCTAGAAGCCCATAACTCCAGATATTCTAGTCATCCAGGTGCGACTAAGATGTACCACGATCAGTGGAAAGTCTATTGATGGAATGGCATGAAGAGGAGTATAGAAGATTTTGTGAGTAAGTGCTCCAATTGCCAACAAGTCAAGGTAGAACATCAGAAACCATGGAGTATGACTAAACAAATCGATATTCCTAATTGGAGATGGAAAGTTATCAATATGTATTTCATCACAGTGCTACTTCAAACTCGCCGACAACATGACTCTATTTGGGTAATAGTTGACAGGATGACAAACTCTTCTCACTTTCTGGCGGTTAACACTACAGATTCGGCGGAGGACTATGCCAAGCTTTACATTAATGAAATTATTAGGTTGAATTGGGTTCCTTTATTTATCATCTAAAATAGAGGTCCTCAGTTTACCTCTTATTTCTAGAAGTCATTTCGGAAGGGTCTTGGTACTCAGCTTAACCTTAGCACAACATTTCATCCACAGACGGATGGATAGGCAAAGCTTATTATTCAGACCCTAGAGGATATTTTTGGAGTTTGTGTGATCGAATTCAAGGGGAGTTGGGATAATAACCTTTCTCTTATTAAGTTTGGCTACAACAATAGCTACCATTCAAACATTTAGATGGCCTCTTATGAGGAATTGTATGGGTGTTGATGTAGATCTCATGTTGGTTGGTTTGAAGAAGGGGAAGGAGCTTTTATAAGGCCAGATTAATTCCTTTATTCTATGGAGAAAGTTAAACTCATTTGATATACACTTAAGACAACCTAGAGTCATCTAAAAGCTTATGTAGATGTAAGGAGCAGGGAGCTAGAGTTCCAAGTTGATGATTGAGTTTTCTTGAAATTTTCACGTATGAAAGGGTGATGATAGTTGGAAAGAAAGGGAAGCTTAGTCCTATATGTGTAGGACATTACAAGATCTTGAAAAGGGTTGGCAAAGTGACATATGAGTTAGGGTTTCCATCAGAATGAGAAGAAGTGCATCCGGTCTTCCATATTTCGGTTTTGAAGAAGTGTGTGGGTGATCAATCTTTTTTGGTGCCATTAGAGAGTGCGACTGTGAAATATAGTATTTCTTCTTAGTATGTACCTGTTGAAATTCTTGAACATCAGGTTAGTAGGGTGAAGAACAAAAAAGTTGCTTCAGTCAAGATTCTGTGGAGGAGTCAGTCCGTAAAAGGAGCTACTTGGTAAGTAGAAGCCAAATATCCTCACCTCTTTCCTTCCGATTCCACTCCAGCTTGAGGTAATAGTTCCTTCTACAGTTTTTTACTCATTCATGCATGAATTTAGCCTTACAATCATGTTCCCTCAATTTGTACCTGCATTTTCAGCGCATTTGCATGTTCTCGGAACTCAATTCAGTCAGAAACTCAATCCTAAGTGTTTAGTAGCAGGGATTGCAACTCTCTCCCTCTATTTTAGCTAGTTTAGTCTTAATTCAAGGACGAATGTTATCAAGGGGGAGATAATGTAACACCCCATATTAAAAGAAGACTAAAACAATCAGGTTTTCAGAAATCTACATGTGTAATCGACGGTCACTATCGACGGACTGTAGTATGATTAATGGCTCGTACCATGCATCCATCGTTTGCCACTGAAACTGTGCCAAAAATTCAGCCCAAAAAATTGATAAAGTGTCGATCCACGGACAGACCTGAGGTCCGTAAGTCAGGCTACGGTCTGTGGTCTATGTCCATGGATTGAGACTCAAGTTACCCAGCCTCTAACATGAACTACAAACGACCAGCACAGACCGTCAATCGATCTACAGTCCGTAGAACTGACCGGTAGGTGTAAGTTAGCAGTCAGTTATGGAAGGAATGTTGTTGGGTCAACTTAAAATAAATACAACTCTTATAAAAACTGAATTAGGTGTCGCTTGATCAATGAAATGATAGATAATTAAGTTATCTTTCCATAGACACCGAGTTTGCTAAAATCCAACCCCAGAGTAAAATGTTATGCCCGTTTTATTAAAGGCCTATCTACGAACAGAAACGACGGCCCATCAGTCCAGGTCGTCCTTTGGTCCAACGACAAAATTTCTAGGGGTCTTTTGGCCTTTTTCTAGTTCTTTTAACCCATATTATACGTCGTTTAAGCCCTAAATAATCAATATTTAGTCAGTTAAGCCTAGAAACATAATAAGAACTTAGATAAGTCAAAATCATAAATCAAAACTTAGATAATTAGAAGCAAAAAATGAGAAAAAGGTCAAGAACCCTAGTTAAATACCGCAGCAAATTTCCATCAGTTGTAGACCAGAAATCTAAATATTTCTCCATGGATTTCATCACTAGGTATGTGGGATCTCACTAGTGGGTTCCTTTCACCGATTAGATCCCTAGTTTTTAGTCATATCTTGACTCTCTTATCAAGATTAAACCTAGGGTTTCTAGAATTACGTCAGATCATCACAAATTAGTTAAATATATGTTCCAAATCATATTTTAAAGTTATTATGTAGTTTAAAACATGAATTTGATAAATATAATTATGCATTTCCTTAGTTCTTGAATTACACATGCTATGTCAGATATTTAAGTTACTTCACATATCCATGCCTCAGTTATTAATGTATAATTATCAGACAAATTATTGAATTTTCAGTTTCCATGTTCAGTTTTGAGCTATCCAGTTTTTACAGAAATTCATTCATAATATGTTTATCACTTAATTCATAGGAAGTAGCATAATACCGAGTTGGACTAGGGTTCAGCGTACCCAATAGTCCAGAACTACTACCTAAGTAGGTTGTAAGTCCCCTCTGTGGGCATCAATTTAGTGACCACGCCAGCATGCCTTTATACCTCTGGTAGGGTATATTGAATCATCTCCATGGGCGTATACATCGGACTCCACATTAGCTCATGTTGTTTTATTATCGGTTATTAGTAGCTACCACATTTTAGACAAACTCTATTGCATTGACCATATTTATAGTCTAGTTATTACTCACTCTTAACATGTTATAGATTTGGTCATACCATCCAAATAGCTCAGAATTCAGTATATCATGTTCAGAACATTATACTTGCTTTTGTGTTTGTTCTATTATGTTTTATTTAAGCTTTTTCTATTCTACAT